AGCATAGGCGGGCCATGTCCCTTTCTAGCTGCATGCCGGTGAGCTCTCTCCTTATCCAAAGCGGTAGGCCTAGAGATACAACTCCTACACCATGTGTGTGCATGGGAATCACCTGGGAGCTTGTCAAAATCAAGATGCCTGGAACCCTCATTGCAGATTGATTCGGGACAATACTGGGGATCTGGATGTTTCACAGGTTCCCTGGGACATTCTGAGCCACACCAGCATTGGAGAGCCCTGTACTGGGTAAACCCAAGGGGACTTCCATCCCCAATATCCCTGTATTCTAAAGTTTACCCAGTCAGGGATATGGAAGCACACATAGTAGGCATTCGTCTCACACAGTGATTAGGCGGCATCAGAATCAGACACTTCATCAGTCTCTTGCTGCCCCCCAAGAAATCACCAATTGGGGAGTTTAGCCAAAGCCAGTTTTTCATGTGTGAGTTTACCCCGTTGTATGTTCTCTCCTAGGCAACCCCTCCCTCTCCCACAGCTTAATTACCATGTCTTGCAGAGGACACAAACTGGGGGCCAGAAAGACAAATCTGGTCTGGCCACACATCAATTTTATTTGGTCTGCCCAGTACTTTTTTAAGGTCTGAATTTATGTGGGGTCAGACTGGGTATTTACTTTCTGGCTCACCATAGGCCCACCACACCCGAGTGTGTTACACCCATCTGGCTTCAATCCTTTACATTACCTGTCTAGACCCTGAGTTTAGATTTAATGCAGTGTCTCAGCTCCTGTCTCCAGCCCAAACCTCTTCTGAGCATCAGGCCCATATATCCACATGCCTCGTGGAAACAGAATCCAGTTGTATACTTAATGGGAGACCTGGCACGTAGTGCAGGGCCGAGTAAACATTAGTGATATTATTATTCTTACTGTGCACCTCCTCCCAGAGTCTTGTGGGCACCTCAACTCAACCTACAGTATTCAAAACAGAGCCCAGTACTTTCCTCCCCTTCACCCCCCAGCCTCTCCACAGTCCCTCTTTCCACAAATAAAATCACCAGAAAGTGCCCAAGACTGGGAGCTATCCTGGGCCCTTTCGTCTCCTTCACCCTGACTTGTCATCAGATCTTGTGCAAAATCTCTTTTGATTCCATTCCATTTGCTGCATCTCACTGTCGCCATCCTAGCTTGATGCAGATTGATTTGGGAGGTCTGGGACAATACTGGGGATCTGGATGTTTCAGGGGCTCCCTAGGGCATTCTGAGACACACCAGTGTTGGAGAGCCCCGTACTGGGCAAACCCAAGGGGACTTCCATCCCCAACATCATCATCTGCCAAGACTGTGGTAGTTGCCTGATTATTCTCCTGCAGACATTCTTGTTGCCATCTAACCCGTTGCTCAATTCAAAGTCGCAGTACTCATTTAACTAAATGAACTTGATCTTGCTTCTGCCTGTGTACAGCCCATTTATTGGCTTCCCATTGGCCCAGGATAAAATCCAAATTCCCTAGCAAGATCCTCCCCAGTCTGGCTCTGACCTCCTCCTCAGCCTCCTCTGGCAGTCTGTGTTCTGGCCATGTGGGGCTTGTGCTGTCTCTGGATGTGCCCTACTGTCTCTGGCCTCCGGGCCCTCATGTATGCCATTCCTTCTCCTGGAGGACTCTTCCCCTTACTCTTTGTGTGTGTGTGTGTTTTTAATTTTTTAAATGTTTATTTATTTTTGAGAGAGAGAGAGAGAGAGAGAGAGAGAGAGACAGAGTGTGAGGGGTGAGGTGAGGGAGGAGAGCCAGAGAGGGAGACACAGAATCCAAAGCAGGCTCCAGGCTCTGAGGTGTCAGCACAGAGCCTGACGTGGGGCTCAAACTCAGGAACTGTGAGGTCATGACCTGAGCTGACATCAGAGGCTTAATGGACTGAGCCGCCCAGGCACCTTTTATTCCCCTTAGTCTTCAGTTGAATTGTTTCTATTGTTCTTCATGTCCCATCTAGCTGTCACTTCCTGAGAAAGTCTTCCCTGACACCAAGATCAAATCAGGCCCCCTGCTAGGAGCTTACAGAGCCACCCCCGCCCCCCGCTGCCCTGGGCATAGCCCTTGCCGAGCTGCATCAGGATCGCATCCTCTCTAGGCCCAGGCTGCACGAGACGGTCACCATCTGCCTTGTTCACTGCTCTCTTTGAATGCCTAGCACATGCTTGGGGCAGAGTAACACACAGTGTGTGCCGAGGAAAGGAAGAAAGGGAGAGAAAAAGGAGGAGGAAAGCATGGAAGGAGACCCAGAAATGAACACAACTGGTACCTCCTCCTTGCCAAAGGGAAGATGAAGCTTGCCACGTCCCATCCCCCACCCCAGTCTCCTGACATCGAGAACTTACAGGGGCAGGAGTTCTCTTCTTCAGTGTCCTATCCTCAGGGACCTGACAAACAGTAGATGTGCTGTGGAGGTTGCTGAAAGAATGAATTCATTCTAAGAACTTCTGGACGTGGACTATCACCCAGAGCATAACCAGTCAGAGAACTATTTTTTGGAATAAGTCGTGAGCAACAACTTGACTTTTTAGAGTATGTACATGTATATAAACACTGATAAAAGTTAAAACCTTAAAAAAAATAATAATAGAAAAATTTCACACTGAGGACCGTGTTGTTACCACCAACCAAATCAGCTTAGGTTATGAACTTATAAACAGGAGCTCTGTTGTCCAAACATGATAAAGCTGACTCGTGACAAACAGTTAAAGAAAATGTAATTCATTTTTTGTTTCAAAGTTTATTGATTTTTGAGAGAGAGAGAACCGGGGAGGGGCAGAGAGAGAGGGAGACACAGAATCTGAAGCAGGCTCCCAGCTCTGAGCTGTCAGCAGAGAGCCTGATGCGGGGCTCGAACCCAAGAACTGTGAGATCGTGACCTGAGCCAAAGTGGGACACTTAACCATTTGAGCCACCCAGGCGCCTCAAGAAAACGTAATGCTTAAAGTCATAGAAACACTTAAAATATGCAATTCATGCACTGGACTCAAAAGTAGATTTTGGCTTTACCACCTTAGTAAGCCAGCATGGAGGAGAAAGTGTGCACTTTGGCCTGACAGAGCCTGAAGTTTGGGCCCCAGCCACCACTTACTGCACACATGCCTTTGGGAAATTTATTTAGCTTCTCCACTTGACTTTCTTTCTTGTAAAATGGGGAAAATGAGACCTGCCTTACAGGGTTGTTTCGAAGACTGAATATAAAATGTAAACCCCTCCAGCACAGCCCTGGTGACCAGGTGCCCATAGATGACCTTGTTTCAGAGTACCTCTGCATTTCAGTTATTTAAAGTATGGTGGCTGGGTTTGGAGGTACAGGGAGCTCATGAAATACTGCTCTCCCCGTGGGAAGAGGCACTATTTCTTTACTGTCAGTGTCCTAAAAGAATGAAAACGGCGGCAGAGAAATAGGAAAGCAATAGCAAGAAAGAAGCATGGGAATGAAAATGCAAGAATTAGATCTTCACTGGATCTTGGAATCACGCTGAAGAGCAAAGGCTTTTCTTTCCATGTTTTCTGTTTCCCTTTCCAGTGTTCTTGGGGAAGCCTCCTCTGCGAGGGTAGCCAGGGGGATGATCCTTTTTTTTTTTTTTTAATTTTTTTAACGTTTATTTATTTTCTGAGACACAGAGAGAGACAGAGCATGAGCAGGGGAGGGGCAGAGAGAGAAAGGGAGTCACAGAATCTGCAGCAGGCTCCAGGCTCTGAGCTGTCAGCAGAGAGCCCGACGCGGGGCTCGAACCCATGAACTGTGAGATCATGACTTGAGCCGAAGTCCTACACTTAACCGACTGAGCCACTCAGGCATTCAGGGGGGAGGATCCTAATGGGCAGAAGGAGCTTTGCTTCTCCAAGCTGTTCAACACTCCAGTGCTTAAAAAACAAACAAACAAACCATATTCAGACATTTTTTAAAATAATTTTTTTTTCTTATTTCAAAGGCAAATCATGTTCATTCTGGGGAATTCATACAAACAAAAAGAAGAAAAAAGTTATCCAAAATTCCACAGCTACAGGACTCCTGGAAACATTTTGGAGTCTATCCTTTCAAAGTTTTTTCTAGGCAATAAGTACATCCAGTGATAGGTCTTGTACAACCAATGAGATCAAATGGTACATACTGTTCTGTAACCTGATCTTTCTCACGGAACAGTTTTCCATGTCAGCAAATGAACGTTATCTAATGTCACAATGGGTGACATCGTCAGGTGCCCAGGGGGGCTGGACACAGGCACTCACCGTGCCCTCCCTGGGTGGAGACTGGTAGCTTCTTTCTGTGAACAGGGATTCAGTGAGCGACTTTGTAGTCAAGCCTTTATACAACCCCTGATTGTTCCCTTACAATGAATTCTCATGTTCAATGTTAATTCTCTCAAGGAAAGAAGACAGTAAGTGCAGTGAAAATGTTTAGGTCGTAAATAGGCCTCTGAGGTGACAGGGGATGGAGGTGGGGGGACTGTAACTCAGCATTATGCTTTTATTTCCCATTCTGTTCAACCACCAAATCTATCTCAAATGCAACCTCATTTCTAGTCAACAAACTTAGAAAATAAACAAGACACAACCACTCTCCTTTGCAGAGATTATAATCTAATAGCAGAGATAAGAGACACAGTAACTACAACAAATGAGTTTTCTCTCTCAATTTAACACAAAAGTACTTGGCTATTCACAATCAGAATTAAGGATAAGATGGAAATGATAATGCTAATAATAGCTCATGTTTAATGAGAGCTTACTAGGTCCAGGAACTGTTCGTGTATTAAATGGCACACTGTGTTAAATGGCACACATCATTAATTCTCCCTGTTAGCCCATGGGGTTGGTATTACGGTTATGAACTTTCTCGTGTTGGGTAAATTGAGGTGCAAAGTGAAATAGCTTGGCTGGGTAACACAGCTAGCCAGTGGTGGTCCTTTGACACTAGAGCCCTTTACTCTGAAACACACATCCTTGGGCTGGGAGAGAGGGTCCTAGTGCCCCGGAATAAGTGTTGTGATTCAACCTTCTAGATACTGCTGCCTGAGAACCAGCTTGCTCACGTCCCCCATGGTGGGGTTCATGGTGACCAATCAGTGCACTTCCCACAAACCCATCAGCTTTCCTCAGGTCCCGGTGGCTGCTTTGGCTGTGGAGAAAGTGGGTCACTCCAGGGTGTATTACCACCTTGCTCTGTTTCCACCTAAGGCCACCAAGGAGCTGCCTTCTGTAAATCACTGGGACCTCAGGGATGGTTTTTTCTCTGGCCACCCCAAGCTGGTCCATTTTGACTCTTTGGCCTGTACTAATGGGTCTTCCGTCCATGTCTTTGTGAATCCAGCCCCCCGCAAGCCAACGGGCTTTCCAGAAGACTTCAGGAGGGGCCTTCTGAGGCTAGTGAGCCCAGCTTCAGTGTGAATCCTCTGTAGGTAAGACGTTGCCTGTCAGAAAATAAAGTTCAGATTATTCTCTAGACGATTTCTTTTCATTCCTTAGCATATTTTTTAACCCTTGAAATGACTGTCAGCTTCTTACAAGCTTTTATAACAAGCGTCACCTGGCTTCACTGATCAAGCATCTGCTTGTGTCCAGCCAGAGGCAGACGGCTTTACAGAGTCTCCCTGAGCCCTCTCAGCCAATGGGGCAGGTACCACTCTCACTGCCTTTTTCAGAAGAGGAAAAGGAAGTTTGCAGAGTGGAAGTAATTGGCCGAGTGTCCTCCAGTGGGGGGTCCAGCAGACTCTCAGTCACCCGGCTGTGCTTTCTATGTACAACTTTATCACCAGTATCTTAGCAGCACAGCCACATACTTCCCTGGTTTGGGATCAATGATCTGATAAATCTCCTCAGCTTCTTACAGTTAATAATCATGTGACATCTTTTTTTTTTTTTTTTAAAGATGTGACCTTTATAAAACAACAACACCTTTCTTTCATATATTTAAAACAGCAAACAAGCCTCTGACGATGTTCTGATAAAAACACAACCTCCTTCACTAATGCCATGGTTGAAGCCTAAAAGTAACCACAAATAAATACAATGTTTGATGCCGAAAGGACTCTACTTAGGTGTAACAATAAACGTGGTTACCATTTACTGAGGGAGCACTGCCTTCACAAAGTGCTTTACAGGCATTTCCTTGACCAATCCTTATTCCTCTTCTAGAAGGTTGCGATTATTATCGCCGTTTTTCAGATGAAATCATTGAGGCTTTAAAGTGAACAGCTGGAGTAAGGGGAGAGAGAGGTTCTAGTCTAACCTCTGTCTCAGTCCTGAGGAAGGGCAAGCTACAAGCTTAATCTTTCTGAGCTTCAGTTTCCCCATCTGAAAACATGACCCCGTGTGACCTTTTTCAGTTGGGTCCCTGGAGGTTTTTTATGAATGTGCAGACTCTCTTGATCTGCTTTTTAATTTACTTTAATTTTATTTAATTTTATTATTTTATTTTAGAGAGAGCATGAGCAAGGGAGGGGCAGAGAGAGAGAGAGAGAAACAGAATCCGAAGCAGCCTCCAGGCTCTGAGCCCTCAGCACAGAACCCCACACGGGGCTCCAACTCACAGGCAGAGAGATCATGACCTGAGCCAAAGTCAGACGCTTAACCGACTGAGCCACCCAGGCGCCCCTCTTTTGATCTGCTTTTGAAGTAAGTTCCAAATCTTTGCCACATACACAGAGCTTTGGAACTCCCTCACCATGATGAAAACAGTGCTGAATGTGATTCTTTTGTCATTTGATCCAGTCAGTTTCCTCCAGTAGTAGATGGATCTTGAGGCTTTAGGAACACTTCACACAAGAAGGAGAGACTATTAACCAGCGTCTGTAGGCATGACGTCTCTGACCACTAACATTTGACCAGCTCAGAAAGGTTGTTAGGAAAAATTTTCAGTGTCCATGTGGTTCTTGCATGTACATTATTGCACCTCATCTTTGTGATTACTCTGAAAGCTGGGTATGATTGTTGTTGTCATTATTGTCCATGTTGTGCAGTCAAAACAGGCTTTTCAGGAGGAAGGTGACTTGGCCGAGATCATAGAACTTCTGGGTACAGAGCTAGAATTCAGTCCAGCCATGGCTTTAGACCTGTCTCTCCTTGCCGCCAACTCTGCCTCTCATCCCAGGGGTCCTGAATTTTCAAATGACACCATGCATTGCCACCAGTTTTTAAAATTAGCGGCATATTCACCAAGAGGCACTTTAATGGAGGGCAACATGGTGGTGTGATTAAGAGGGCAGGCCCCCCATTAGAGAAGCCTGGATGTGTATCCTGGCTCTGCCACTTCTAGAAGTATGTGATCTGACCTGGGGTACTGTCAGGAGTCACCACGTTTGCTTGCCTGTGTTTGACTCTCACACTGTGGTGCCCCCACACCACAGCCGCCGTGCACCATGCCTAGAGTGGACTTTGCAAAAGAAACAAACCTGTGTTGCTTTAAGCCGCTGAGACGGTAGGGTTGTTTGTTAACCTCAGCATGACGCGGCTTATCCCCCTTTCTTACAAATACCAGCCTCACAGGTTGTTGTGAGGGTTCCAGGAGAAAGGTATGTAAGAACTTGACACAGTGGCTGGCACACAGCTATTAGTGTAGGAGAAAAGAAATGCTTATGTGCTTCCGCTATACAAGCACCTCCAAGATAGGAGAGTAGCCAGTCCTCACACTCCCGTTCTTTCCTGTGCCTCCGTGGGGACTTGCACGCTGTTTTCCATTTTATGGGAGAAAAATGATAGAGGTACTGAAAACACATGGGATTGTGGGATGCATCATTCCTAGGGTGTGTTTAGCCAGCCTCGGACTCTGGAACTGACCAGAATTGAGAGTGCACATAGGTTCTATGGAAATAGCTCCACGTTTGTGTAAATCCAGGAGTTTAAGTTCTAATGAGAGTCTTTCCACGGCCCAAATTTTTAATACTTCAGTTTGAGCCAAAGCAGCGAACATTACCGCCCTCACTGGTTTTTAGTGGGAAATTCTAGCACTAGAAACTTGTTTTAAGACTCCAGAGAGAGGCAAATCTTAGCTGTGTATACTTGGAGGAAGCCGGATTTTATCATAAAGGTAACAAAATCCGTCTAGAAAGACTTAAAAACATCCAGTCGGCCATTCACCACTTAACTGCACAAGATGTTTTTGCCTGGGTGGCTAACAGGTAGCCATGCAGCTACGATTTGCTGGGCACCTCTAAGCAGATACGATTCATGCCTTTGCTAACAAGAAACAACTACAATAATGCAAGCAGGTGAAGAAAACCTTCAGATGTTGCTGCTCTAACCACATTTTTGTTACACTCGAATTCATTCAAAAACCTCCATAAGAGACAAGAGGTACGAAATGTGTGTTCATGTTTTGCTTGGACAGATTTTGGCTCCTAGCAATTAATGCTTTCAGTCACATTAAGCATATAAATAATGCTTTGTGACATTACAGTATTTCCCATTACAGATCAATTTTGTAGCATTTGTCCATAATCCGACTTGAAATATTACCTAGAAACAAAATATGTTTTCCTTGAAACAGTCAGACCCTATTAGAAATCTAAGGCTTTACAAATCACCATGTTAACAGTTATGTCCCCTAGCTAAGGCTTTCTTTCCTTAAATAGTGTTAAATTCAGCCCCAGAAGCACTAGTCTCTGTGAGGGTTCTCTTCTTATGTGCACTGACTTGAAAGGAAAAATTTAGTGCTCAAAATATATTTAACATTTTACTATGCATAACTTAATAAATCAACCAGTATTCCCTTTTGGGGGAAAAATAATGTTAGCACCTTTTACAAGTGTTATGCTTCTAATTAGGTTACAAGATATTATTTTCTCATTTTTCAAAAGACAGGTTTTCATTGCTTTAAAAAAAAAAAGGTGTCAGCTTATTTCTGGGTAAGAGGAGTTATTCTCATTTCCTGACCATATAATCACACACCGTGGGTGAGCAAAGAAATAAAGGGAACATATATCAGAATCAAAGGTTGGAGCAGTAAAACTTAGCACTCACCAGTGGAGAGTTTGCAGCCAGGAACACCTGGATCTGAGTTCTAGCCCTGCCACTTAGTGGAGTCAGGCGAATTACTGAACTTCTCATTCAGCAAATGTTAGCTAATTTTTAAATAATTTACACAATTTTTTCCCCCTGAAGAATATCCTCTTTGACGAAAGCTAACTACCTCTCATTCATTCAGCAACTAAGATGGACCGGACCATTGCTCTCACATCCTAGCGCGCAAAAGACGGCGTACAAACAAGAACATATCAAATGGTGCAGTTGGCTGAAGGCGGCCCCCCAAAAGCTATGTCTACCTCCTAACCCCCGGAACCTGTGAATGTGATCTTCCTTGGAAAAATGGGTCTTTGCAGATTAAGTAAGGATCTTGAGAGAAGATCATCCTGGATTATCAGGGTGGTCACTAAATCCAACGACAAGTGACTTTCCAAGTCACACAGAAGAGACACAGAGGGGAAGAAAAGGCCATAAAATGGGAGGCAGAGAGTGGAGTGATACAGCCACAACCAAGGAACATGTGGGGCCACTAGACTCTGGAAGCAGCAAGGAAGGATTCTGCCCTGTATCCCCCCGAGGGAGCCTGGCCCTGCCGACACCTTCATTTCAGACTCCGGCCTCTAGAACAGTGAGAAACTAAGTTTCTGTTGTTGTCAGCCTCCCTCTTTGTGGGCATTTGTACATCAACCCTAGGAAACAATGGCATAAATGGTAACGCGTACCGAGAAGAAAATAAGATGGGCAAATGAGACAAAATATAAACAGGGACACAGATGTGACCACCATAAATGATGGAGTCTGGAAGGCCCCATTTAGGATGTACCAGTTGAATTCCCTGAGGACATGGGAGAGGGGTGTTCTGAATCGGAGGGCGAGGGGGCAAGTATAAAGGGCCTAACCTGGGAATTAATTTGGTGTGTGCAAAGACCAGGAAGTGAGTGGTGCTGATTATGGGAGGTGCAGGGGAGAGTGGTAGGGAGATGCTGAGACAGGAAGGAACCAGACCCTGTAGAGCCTTGTAACCTCAGAGACCTAACACTTATAATGACTTGCAGATGCCCTTACGAGCAGAGAAAGACGTACGGACTGATTAAATAATGAGTATATGCCAAACATTGTAGCAATCGGATTAAAACCCAGAACCTTTATAATCTTCCTCATGTAATCCCATCCCACTGTTAATTCAATATGAATAAGAATGTCACAAATAGAACATGTGAGGTCAAACACCACAGACACAGTAGAAAATCCTCAGCGGGATCCTTTATTTTGTTCACTTGCTACTTACAAGGTGAAATGTCAACCTGTAAAAGTTGTTTCTACCAGTTCAGCCAATGGCCTGGAACATCATCATGTCCTCATTCCACGGTGTATAGTCCCGGGGGGCAGATCCAAGGGTCGCAGCTTCACGGGGACCAGACGGCGCAGGTTCCAGAGCTCGAGCTCCGCACGCTGCGCTTCCCCAGGACCCCACAGCCTCATTCCTACTGGTGATCAGCGAGGAAATGGATGGTACTTCTATTCATTTTTCAAAGATCAGACCTACCTCGTTTACATGTCAAGAAAATGTTCTCAAGTAAAATAAAGTGTTTATCATTTTCCTATAGCTCTTTGAATGCCTGGCATTCATGTTTTCCCTACCTCTAAAATTCCTTTCTTTTTCACATTATCTTTCTTGATTGCTTCTTAATGTAAAAACAAAAAGCACAAAGATAGGGATTTGTTGTGCACATTAGCAGGTCCATGCAGAAAAATGCACGGAGGTTTTATATACCATTTACAGTGACAGCTCAGAGTACAAAGTCAAGAAGAAAGAATCTGGAATATTAGACGTGCTCTGAAATAAGGCTACACAGGAGGACACCACTGTAGTTTCATCAGAACTTTCTCTCACCGGCCGTTCAACAGTGGCAAATGCAAAAAACGTGCGGTTAAAATAACATAGCAGTCGCTTCATATATTGCCCCCAACCCACCCAACTTCTGAATATAGGGGCTCTTTCAAATTTTCTTCCCCTTTAGTCTATGTTTAATGGAAAAAGCTAAAAAATCATGTTTTAGCAAGTATCCCCATAGCAATTTACCCAGGTTTTAATGTGTTTGGAGAGAAGTCTCACTGAAAGAATAGCAATAATGATTTTCCAGTAAATACTGAGTGAAAAACAATTTTAACCCCAATCTGAGGTTATAAATTTGCTTTTTTTTGTAAATGAGACAACTGTAGCAACCATCCCAGACATGAAAAGAAAGCCTCCCATAGTCTGCTGTATGTATCAAAGCTCATCATGATTTTTTGTGAGATCTTCCCCATAATTGGTAGCTTGGCTTCCGACAAACATGTTCCAGTTGTCTAATATCTCCTCTTTAGTTAGCTTTTCATCCTGCAAGAGAGAGGAAAGACCTCTGTCACAGCAGCTCTGGTAACTCTGAGTAATAGTTCAGCATGAAGCTCATGTTATTTCATGGGTTTTCAACATCTAAAATGTTACAGGTCATAATGAAGAAGCTGCTAGGTACCTCCAGCAGTCACCGTCACACTGCCCTGCAAAAACTAAACCGGAACAGCCCCCTGGCTTAAAAGCTGTGCTAAAATACATCAGGCAAGTCCTCGAGGAATTCAGAAGCTAGAATCCAGTTATGTCTACACACAGTGCTGACATTCCCCAAACAGGTCCCAAAGAATTCCATTCCCCTTTTATAGCCTGACTGCAAAACTCTACTGCGTCCCAAGAACTTGCAACAGTGATCCAACTGGAAGACACAGGACTTCTTTCTAAATCTTGTTTGTTTACTTGGATATCTACCAACAGGTATTGAAGTGCTGGGCATCAGAGCCAGCAGTAAGCGCATGCTTGAAGATGCCTGGGATGTAACGGGATGGCATCCTTGCATCTGACACATGACAGATGTTTGGTAAATTATCTGCTGAGTGACTGGCTGAATGAACAAACCTGTCCTAGGGCAACTCAGGGTATATCTCTTAAATCCCTGCCCTGCCCACAGCAAACAAAGTTACCGGTTCTGCAGTCCTAGGAGATGGCAGTGAATTAAGTGTGTGGCCCATAGCAGACTATCCAGGAATGTCTGGGCCAATTGAGTTCACCGTGGGTTACCAAGGTCTTGGCTAGGGGCGCCTGGGTGGCTCAGTCAGTTAAGTGTCTGACTTTGGCTCAGGTCACTGATCTCACAGTTCCTGAGTTTGAGCCCTGCGTCCGGCTCTGTGCTGACAGCTTGGAGCCTGGAGTCTGCTTTGGATTCTGTCTCCCCCTCTCTCTCTGCTCCTCCCCCACTCACGCTCTCTCTCTCTCTCTCTCTCTCTCTCTCAAAAATAAATAAACATTAAAAAAAATTTTTTTTAAATCAAGGTCTGGCTAAAGTTTACAAGTCTGTAATGTAGGTCAAGAATGACACAGCTGCATGGGCCACGGGCCAAATGCTATCACTAAAGAAGCAAACAGAACCAATCTTATGTAAACTGTCTCCCTTCAAGGAACGATTCCAGAACAACGTGAAGTACCTTGTTTTTGTCTGACTCATACACCAGGTGCCTGGCCTCGGCCTGAGCATGGTCATAGTCCTGAGGGAGGATCCAGTGGCGAATCTCATCTTTGTCCAACTTCCCATCCTTGTTCAGATCCCGGAACTCATTAAACTGCTCCCGTTCTGACACAACCCAGTCAGGCTCAGGGCCGTTCTCCTCGTGGGAAAACATATCCGCTAGAAGGGAAGGTTGTTCTTAGTTACGAGGACAAGTGGGAAGGTAAGTCAAGGAAAACCTGACCTCCTGAGTTTTTGGAAGGATGATGACCAATCAAGAGACCTAACCCAGAAGTCTCGTGGGCAGTTTCTTGGGGATAATGACAGAATGATTTATCCACTATGAAAGCTGCTTGGCAGAATAGAAAGAACTGAGTTTAGGAATCAGAAGATGAATCCAGTGATTTCAGTGACTGGGATTAAGTTACTTAATTCAGTGACTGAGTCCTAAATTGTCTTGTCTATAACATGGAGGTAATATTTAAAAACCACAGAGTTATTATGAAGATTACATAGGATACTCTCTATAAATACACTCTACAACCCAAATTGGCACTATCTAAGTGAAAAACCAATAAGGACCAACATCAAGCACTTTCTACAGTCCAGGTATTATATAAAAAATATTTTACATACACTTTTTTCATTTAATTTTCTTAACAATCTTATGAATTAGGTATTATTATTATTCCCACTTTATAGATGAAAACACTGAGGCACAGCCTTACTCCAAGGACCCACAGCTAGCATGAGCTCAAGACAATGTAGTAGCAGGAGCACTCTGCTTCCAACCCATGGCCTTTACCGCTATTCCTTTCGTTGCTGGTATCATTCCCAAGGGGCTTTTGCATAGATCATTTTATTTCACCCTTATAACAATTATATGAGATGGATTATTATCCTTATTATACAAAATGGCAGGAAAAGAAAAAAGAAGGCAATGTTCATATGCATTGTTTGCTAAGTCACTAGATCTTCTTGGACAACACAGCTACTCTGTGGGCAGTTTTCTCTTTGATGGAAACCCAAGTTGGAAATGTCAGGAGGTAGAGAGAGCAGGTAGTGAATCAAGGGAAAAGAGAAGCAAGACTCGTGTTTCAGCACACGTTGGACCCACACTGGAAATCTGCAGACTGTTTTTGAGAAAGAGCTGTCACATTTATTAGCTAACTTGGGCATCGTCTAATCCTACAAGCCTGGGCGCTATGTATTCCCATTTTATGGATGAGGAAGCTGAGGCTTCTCATGATTACATGACTCCCACTGGGTCACACAACTAGTAAGTGGAGAAGCCAGGGCTCCCAAGTGCAGTGCTGTTCCCAGTGCACCACATCACCACTGGTTTTCCACTCCCTCCCACCTGAAAAGAAGGCTTCTCCATCAATGAAGTCACTTGCAGGACAAGTCCACACGTCAGGCCTCTCTGACTGTGAGCTGCTCAGAACTGGATTTTCAAGCACAATGCCCCCCACCTCCCTCCCTGCCTAGTGTGAAGAATGGAATGTTTCTTTTAGGCAAAGCCACTCGGAGTTTTGCCCCTGACTTTGCACCGTTTCAATGCAGAGTTCAGGAGGGCCAGGAAGAGCACACACTTAATCAAAAGTGCTACATTGCTTGTTTCAATCCGTCAGCCTTTTCTGTCTAATTCCATCACCACTGTCAAGGTGAGGCGTCCACAGCTCTGAACTGTCCCTCGTGCACGCACCGGGCCGGAGGACGGCTCTGCGGCTTGCACGGACGAGTAGCCTGTCAGCATGTGTCATCCCACAAAGGTAGAGCCACCAAGATCACTTTAATTACTGTAGTGAGAGCCACCTGTCTGTTACCACAGGCCGACGAAGAACAGCGTTCGGTCCTGCAGATCAGATATAATTTCTAATGATTAGAAGAAACTTTGCTCTCCATTACCGAAGGCACTTGTTCCTGTGCCTGGGGTGGCAAAGTGATACAACCACAGACTAGAGACTGATGGCGACTCGGGCTCCTGTATTATGCTGAAAGATAATTAACTGCCTCTATTAAATAGGAGTACAAAAATGATATGCATCCCACCCCTCAAATGATTTTCCAGCCTTTACTGACACTTGGGAGAAGAGCCACCACCACAAGGCAGCCTGCTGTTGGAACCAAGTAGCAGAGCCCTGAAGTGGCAGTGACAAGGGTCGAGTGGAAGCTGCCATGTTGCCTGCCCCAGTCCTTTATGCCTAGAGACCTACAGGCTGCTCGGGAGGGCTCTAGCCAGCCAGGTGACTTCTGACCCGGGGGCATTAATCGGAGCCCCACTCCACCAGTGCTCGGGCGCCTGACAACACACTTCCTGATGCTTAAAGGGGAGCCCATCAGAACAAAATGCTAGGTTCGGTACTCCCAATCAAAGGATCAAAACCCAGAGGCACACAATGGCTAATCAAGGGGCAACCGTGCGCTCCGTAAAAGGATGTACCTCTTTAAGAAGGGGCACCTTTCTGCAGATGCCTGGGTGTTCAACACAGCTCCATCTACTTAGTGCTCTTAGATCCCACAGACTGACCCACAGTGTGACTTTCAGGGTCCTTCAGGGTCAGTCTGCTCTAGCCTAACTGTAAATCCGTCGGGTCCCCACGTTCACTCTGCAAAGGTAAAACTACACAGTGTGGAGGAGGGCACCTCTCAGAGCCGTGGGCCCGCTCTTGGCCGCTGTGTGAAGTCTCATAAATGCCTCCCTGAGGTTGTACCACTAGGGACTGGTAATGACAAGGCCCTCCCCGGTGGGGAGGCACAACAATGGCAACTTCAGGCTTGCAGCTGTTGCTAAAAGAGACGTCTGACCAAAGCAGCTAGACATGTGGGTGGAAGAATGTTGCCCAGTTGGGACAGAAGAACAAGACCCCAGGCCACACTCACCAATATACTCGTCCTGATCCAGAAACCCATCCCCATTCTTGTCGATGTCCTCCAGAGTTTCCTAGGAAGCAGAGGGGAACAGAGAATGCAAGATGGCTATGTGCTCTAAGTAAGTCTGAGAATTCCACCTACTGTTCTCCTTTCTCTGGCTTTTCTGGCTGAAAATGCTTGGAAACTTTTGGCTCATCTCTTTTCCTCCCCAGGCGTTAAGTTTCTTATCCGTAAAACAATAGGCAGTGGCTTGGGTTCCTCCTCCCCCATCCCATAATTGTAACAGCACAACACTCTCTTCACATGAAAATGTATGTATAAGCCCAGAGGGACTCTGATTTTATCAAGAAGCCATGCCAGGCCAACTGTCTCCATCATCCAGCCAAATCATCCTCGGGGGTACCAGTGAGGAACCCAGCTCAGGAACCACCAGCCTAGATAATCACAAAAAAATAGATTCCAGTGCTAACTGGACTATGAAGGCTGGGTTGGTGTCATAAAAATACGAAACAGTGAGCAACTAAAAAATAAAAGTGTATCTGACTTTTGAATGTATATGTTCTATGTTTAGTCCATTAGACTTCTTAATTAGGTTTATTGTGAGGGTGAGTAATTAAATGAATTTACTGTCCATTGTCACAGCAACTCACAGGCATATCCTGGGTTAAAGAAAATAGCCACCCAAGAGCAGAGCATCAATCCAGAGGCACATAATCTTCTTGTGGACAATTCCCTAATCTTCATCTGCCTCTGGCAAGTTAGGTGTGGCTAAATGGATGTTGGGTGGTAAAAAGAAATGTTTCTTAGAGCCACTGCCCAGTCCTTAGTGTCTTGGTGGTCATGAGAAGGAAGAATAAAGCAAGAGTGGATCCCACCTACCAGCTGGAAAACTAAAATATAGTCCAGAGCCGATTATGAACAAAAACTTTAGCCACTTGTTTCCCAGCATCAAAGCAGTCAGAACTGGCCTGGCATATCTGCCCAGGAAAGAGATGATGGCATTTATTTTACTGTCATGGCAAATGAAGACATTTGGGACCCTGCCAGCCACTATGGAAAGCAACTACACTCAGAGGCCTTATAAGCATCTCTCAAAGCCTAGGGTCAGACTCATTCATCCTCCAAAGACCCAGCCCGAAGAGGAGTGTCCTTCCAGCTACAGTTTTATTTTAAGTTTCTATATGTTTTAACAACGATGCATTCCATTTCAGAGTCTTTTCCCAGTTCCTTCAAGGGTGCAAAATGGACAGAGACTAGCTAGTTGCTCACAAAACCCTTCTGTTCTTTTCGGGCACACATCTGTATTTCCCTGCCTTGTCATATCTAGAAGCAGTCCGTGGAAGGTAAAAGGGAAGATGATTCATTTCCTGGCCAGAACAGTAAGGGTAGACTGTTGCCTTCTCCTCATTCCCTATCTTTTCCTTTGTCTCCCAGCTGGTTGTTGCCAGGATGACCTTGAAGCCACAAGATGGCAGAGTGTAAGATGTAAGTAGCCTGAAAGTACTTGGAGAAGTGCCCAGAAGACCCACCTGACTCAGGCCATCTGCACTGGACTTGGTATAAGCAAAAATAAGCTCTGTTTTACATGGCTAGGATTGGGGCTGTTTGTTACAGCAGGTAGCCTGCCCTGACTCACAGTGGTAGACAAGTATTCCATTGTATTCTACTTCAGAGTTCTTCTCCAATTCCCCGCAGGTTGAATGAAGAATGCTCTTTCTTTAGAAGAAGGGACAAGACTTTGGTACAGATTTTGCTCTGGTCTTTTCCCAGTCCGGGCTCTTTATCTTACCAAAACCACAATTTCTTTCATATGCTCAAACTCCTCAGGGTGCAAAAAGGCAGTGAACTCCTCCCGAGTGGCTATCTGGTCACCATCGAGGTCTGCAGCCTTGAACCTTCTCTCATCACGTGGCAGCATCTTTTTAAAGGTGTTATGATCTAAAGGATCTTGAAACTCTTCAGGGTTTCCTGCAAGATGTGTGCAGAAACATTTAAACTGGGCTGCTAAGGAAAGCATTTCCTTCCAGATCAGTCATCCTTCATGCCCAAATGGTACACACAGGACAAAAAAGGTCCTGACCAATTGAGTTCTTTGAAGCATTTTACCTTTAGCATCTGTCCCTTCATCCCTCCTATAATCCAGGCCCCAACGGCTTATTGGGGGCATTATAGCAAGTGGTTAGGAGTGCTGGCTTTAGGCTTTTCTTCGCAGAACTCTGCTTTCATAATATCATTCTTTGACCTAGAACACGCACAGGCTCCCTAGTACCTGCAATATTCTGTCTAGACATTTCTGTCTGGCCTTCATAATCTCCCTTAATGTAACCACGAGTGTGTGCTCCACCAGCTCTCCTGAGACTTATCTCCTACCTCTCTCTACCACGTACCCAGTGGGGCTGCACTCTACGCTTTGCACACATCCCTCTACCTTCACAAACAAGCATGTCTTACATCCAAACCCTACCCACTGCTGAATTCACTGCTGCACCTTTGCTCCTCCAATGGACCCACCTTCCCCACTTGCCTCTATCTCTCCAAATATATATCCATTTTTCAAGGCCCAGCTCCCAGACCACCCTCCACCAGGAAACCTTCCCTGACTGCTTCAGCTCACTGGGTCCTTGCTGTCTGAAACTTGGCAGCATTTTGAGACTGTAGCACAGGCACACTTCATCTCTGCTCTGTTCTCTTTGTTCTTTGTGCCTCTGAGATTGTAAGCTCAGATTGGGCAGCAACCTAAGTTACTTTTTATTGGACCCGGGACCCCTCCCGCTACTCACCACCCACAGCTTCACTCAGGGTAAGGAGCTCTGTACATTCTTAGTAAGCAGAGGAGGATGTTATACAAGCAGGGTCTACTTAGGGGGTTGTGACATCTCCCGGAGGCAGTAGATGTGTTGAGAGAGGAGAGGCTCCCGCAAGGAGCTTGTTATGTGGGCCCCAGCTGTGCAAATGCTCAGGCAGCACCTCTTACCTAGGTAGTAACCATAGGTGGCTTGTTTGTATTCTTCCCAGGAAATTTTATCATCTTTGTCCCGATCATAATCCTTCCAGACTTTAGCGACATTATCGTAGATGTATCTTCTCTGCACTCGCTTGATCCAAGTTTTCAGCTCCTCAGTAGTAACAAAGCCATCCCCATCACTGTCAATTCGGTCAACAATCTTCCTGTAGTTAAAAAAAAAAAAAAAAAAAAAAAAAAAAAAAAAACCCACAAGGCTATTATCAAGGCTTGTGTGATCCTGATCCAGAAAAAGATCAAACACCGCAGAATCTAAAATGCATAAGCAAGTGAAATAAAAGCAATGATCCAATTGTGCTGGAAAGGATCTTAAAGTTCATCTTTTCTGAGGGTAATATGCGTCCTCCCCCCATTGCCAATGGCAGACACTACCAGCGGACCATGCCCTCTGTCCTGATAAACCCAGGCGTGCCTCTGAATCCTTCTCAACACAGCACTGTGCAGGTGGACACCACCAATTGATCAGAGTTGATTGTGAGATGAAACCCAACAGTCTTCTCCAGATGCAGTCCAACTCCCTTGTGTTACAGTGATGGAAACAGAGGCTGAGAGAAATGAGACGACTTTTCCAAGATCACACAGCTAGTATTTAGTATGACAGGGTAAGAACCCATGTCTTCTGGCGCTAGGTCTAATGCAAAATAAAATAAAATAAAATAAAATAAAATTTGAAAAAAAGGAAAATTCTAGGTAAACCAGAAGATAAGCGAGTTCTTTTCTTTTTCTTCTTCTTTTTTAAAATATCACCACTTTGGACTCATACTCGACACTTAGAAGACCAGATCTTGTTGGCCAAAGCATAAAACGTCAGGGATGAAAGAGCCTTCACATCATGAAAACTATTCAAGAAGCCTGACCAGCTGAGCCAGCTGCAGGAGCCTACACCCTGCCCTTTGGGCGAAGATACCTATGTCCAGGGGGGGTCTCCTGCTCCACAGCTAGCCCGGGGTCCAGCAACTGCCCGCTGGACTCTACTGAGGTACCCCCACACTCTGGTCCAAAGTAAACTTCAGGCTGGGAACTCACCAGTGTCCATCTCTAGGCCAGAGGGTCCCAAGCTAGAGATACAGTCCCTGTGGGGAACTTCAAGGACACCCACAAGCCATTTCCAATGCTTAAGAAAGTTCCAGTAGTCCATTTACCTGGGATGCAGTCAGCCAGGCTACTTAGGGATTTATTTCTTTGCTTAGAGCTGCAGTCTATCAACTCAGCGGGAAAACTTTCTTACTGTCAACAGAAGTTCTAACTGACAGTTACTCTTTCATTAATTAGAAATGGGGAAGGAATTTATTAGTACATATAAAGTTACTGTCTCCTACCTGAACCTGGGGAGCCCGTTTCCCTCTTTCTCAGGAAAGTGTGAGTGCTACGAACAGCTTTGTTCGTAGCACTCACACTTTCCTGTGTCCCTTCATTTGCCATCTTTTTTTTTTTCAACGTTTATTTATTTTTGGGACAGAGAGAGACAGAGCATGAATGGGGGAGGGGCAGAGAGAGAGGGAGACACAGAATCGGAAACAGGCTCCAGGCTCTGAGCCATCAGCCCAGAGCCTGACGCGGGGCTCGAACTCACGGACCGCGAGATCGTGACCTGGCTGAAGTCGGACGCTTAACTGACTGCGCCACCCAGGTGCCCCTTCATTTGCCATCTTAACAGGTCCCAGAGCTAACAGACTAAGCCTCAAGTATCCTCAGGCTTCCTTCTAGGGATTCACAGCCTTTCTGGATCTCAGTTTGCCTGACTATAAATTGGAACACCTGCTTTACAAGGGATGTTGTGGGGAATACAGGAGAGAATGTGTGCCCAGCCTCACTAAGGACAGCAATCTAGATCACAGGTGGATGGAGAACTCAGCGAACACCCAGCAGGTAACAGAAGTAACAGAAGTGAGCCAAGACTCCAGGTGGAGCCTCGGGCAACCTGGAGATGCCCATCTCTGCTCCAGACGATGAATGCCACATGGGAATAGAAGTCCACGGTGTCAAGAGAAACCAGAAATCAGGGTCTGTATGTGAAATCGCTCAGTTTAAATGTGGGCAAGTAATTTACATTTTTTCTAAGAGCTCATAGCATGTTTGTGACTGCGTGTGGCCTGTGGGCCTCCGCTCTGCAAGCCCCTTGGCCTAGCTGTCTCCAGAAGCCCTAGAACTGTCACATTTTCAGAATCTAAGGTCAGGTGGTGACTGCCTGGATCCAGCCCAAGACTGGGGGCGGGGGGTTGGGGGGCAGAGGGGACTGCTGCACCAGGAGCTGTGGGCAGAAAGGTGGCTTTTCATGTTCCATTACGTCCCAACCTTCCACCCACCTTACAGCCTGGATTTACCTAACAGGTGAGTGTGTGTCCACTGCCTGTCTGGTAGCTCAGGCCAGAGACCAGATGTCCCCCCAGAGACCACTTCCCCACCCCACGTTAAGTCCAGAGCAAGCACTGACTGTTCTACTTCCCAGGTGCCTGGATTCACAGTCTCCTGCCCTCGGGACCAGCTGTGCCTGGTTAAGGCACTCGTGGCCACTCCCCTGCCCCTGGTCTCTCCACCTGTGCCTCAGTTATGTTCTCTGTCCTCCTGCCTGTATGACATTACTAACAAGTTTTTGGGATGGTGACATTTTGATTACGTACAGGATAACACCTAATCTCTACCTCAAAGAGATCCTTCCTGCTCTGCTCTTAGGTCCCCTCCCACCTCCCACTTCTGCCCTGTCCCTTTACTGTCCCAACAGCCTTCATCCCCCAGAACAGGTTTCAAAACTTTTATAAGCAGGCTGTTTTCAGGAATGCCTTCCTCTGCTTGTGCACCTGGCGACCTCTGAGCCATCCCGCAATCTCTGATCAGGTGTCCCCAAACCCCTAAGCCCCGCTCTCCAACCTGAAGCCCTAGGGGCTCCTCTTCCCGAGTGTGGTCACTGTGGTTTTTACCTGCCGCCATCATAGCAATTACACATTAGTGTCTGCTTGTGTTTCTCTCCTCTACTTTTATTTATTTATTTATTAAAAAAAATTTTTTTTAATGTTTATTTTTGAAGGAAAGAGAGACAGAGCGTGAGCGGGGGAAGGGCAGAGAGCGAGGGAGACAGAGTCCGAAGCAGGCTCCAGGCTCTGAGCTGTCAGCACAGAGCCCGACGCAGGGCTCAAACTTACGAAGCGCGAGATCATGACCTGAGCCCAAGTGGGCTGCTTAACCGACTGAGCCACCCAGGCTCCCCTCCTCTACTTTTAATTAGAAGTACTTTGAGGCCTAGAGCATAAGGTTTTATCTTGGTATCTGCCAAGCATCTAACACGGTGCCTGGCACACAATAGCCATGGAAATGTTTGTTGCATGAATACATGAACGAAGTTAAGGTGTCCCTACCAGGGCCAAATGCAGAGCAACTTCACCAGCACTAGCTCTCACCACTAGGCTTATGGTCATGATAAAGGCATTAAACTGGAAGCTGTTAGGACTGCAAACTGCAGAGTTCCCTACTCCTCGTAGGTGACAGTGCTGCCTCTCAGGGTCCCAGAATAAATCAGTTTCCAAGTGCTTCAAAGCTAATACAATAGACTGAACTCATCACTGGCCCCCATTGTGAAGTCCTGAACAAGAAGAGAAACGTACTTCTAGGCAAAATAAAAGGTGATTGTTTGGAGGTGACTTTGAAGTCCAAAGATCTTTTTGTCAGGGCGGGCAGATGGTGCACCCACACAATAGGTATAATTTAGCCTCATATCTTAACCAACCACATTGGCCTTTGGTGGCCCCCTTCAGCACAGGGATGGCTGTTCTTTTTCATGTATCAGGACAGAAAGATCCTCCACTCCCAGGAAGCAGGTTCCAGGAGGCCTGGTGCCCAGTAGGCAGGGCTACTGGGACCCTCCCCCCCCGCCAGCCTCCACTTGGGACCAGGCCATGGCTGCTGATTCCTCTATGGAAGGGTTCCCAGATACCTCTGCACAATGACCAAGTGTGTCCCCAGGGGACCCGGAGAGGGTGCACTGAGATGTACCTAAGTTTTGTTTTCCAGGTTTGGTTCCTGATTCAACTGCCTTCAACTGTGAAATTCACAATCTGCCACCACACCCTCCAGCTTTTTGCCCTCAGTTGCCAAAGGACTGGGTGCCTCCGCAGACATCTGCTGGAAAGAGAAACTGGGGGACCGGTTTCCATTCCCACTTCCCACTCCCTATCCCCTAATGTCCCTATCTTCTCACCAAGGTTTGTATATCCCCACTTCTACTATCTCTACTATTAGGCAGGAGGCAAGAACACCCCTGCCGCGGCCCAAGAACACCCGCCAGGAATCTACCCTCTCCTTCATCTGCTCCTTCAGCTTTGATCCATTTGTGTTCATCCTGCAGACCTTCTTAGCAGTGTCACAAAACCTCCACCCCGGGAATTGGGGGAGAAGAGGGGAACTGGGAAGGTGGGGAAGAACTCATGTCACTAAAAGGCCACTGTGCACAAACTCTTCTTTTGTACCCACTCTCCCCTCCCTTCTGATGCAACCGAGGGGAGGGGGCGGGCCCTCGCCGCCCTGGCTCCCGCTGCCGCTGCCACGTTCCTGCCTCCCCGCCGCCCGGGCGCGGCGGCTGTCCCCACGCTTTGGTCCCCGGCCCGCGGGCAATTCAGCGCGAGCCGGGCCTCCGCAGCACCCGCCGGACCCCGCCCTCCGCCCGCGCGCCCGATTTCGCTTTCGCTTTGCTTTGCGGCGCGCGTCCCGCGTGGCTCCCGCCGGGGTGTCCCCGCGGGCACCTGCGACGCCCCCCAGCGCGGCCCGGACCGCGGCCTCACCCCAGCCTCTCCTTGCTCTCCTCCGAGGTGAGCTGGTCGAAGGTCTTGGAGTCCTCTTTGCCCAGGAAGGCCTCGTGGTCGTACTGGAAGCTCTGGTTGTCCTCGGCCGGCCGCTCGCCCAGCTCCGAGTCGGGCCGCACCACGCGCTCCTTGCGCACCGTGGGTTTGGCCCGCAGCGCCCCGGGCGCCAGCGCCAGCGCCAGCAGCAGCCCCAGGGCGAGCCCCAGGAGGCGGTCGCGGCCGCCACGCGCCATCGTCAGGACGGGAGAGCGGCCCGCGGGGAGGCACGGAGCGAGCGACGAGGACGGCGACTGGGGAGTGGGGGCTCCCAGCGCGGCGGCGGCGGCGGCAGCGGCGGGGGAGGGGACGGGCCCGCCCCGCGCCAGAGCGAAGGGGCGCGCCCCGGGCCGCGGGCAGGGAAGCTTCGGGCAGCCCGGCTCACGCGCCCATTGGCCGCCGGGCCGCGGGGAGGGGGGGGGAGGCCGGGGAGGCCGAGCCACGTCGCCAGCCCGGGCGGTGGGCGCGGGGCTCGGGTTTCTCCTCGGCCCCTCCCCGCGATCTCGTCGCGAGGGGCGGGCCCAGGCGTGCTGGGCTGGGGACTCCGGGCTCCTAGGAAGACAGGGAAGTTCTTTGTCAAGCAACAGATGTTCAGGGTAAAATTCCCTTTCTCTTCTTCCAGTTATGGAGAGTTGAAAGGAACGAGGCGCTGCCCCTCCCCAACTTCCAGCTGGGCGCCTGTACCCCAGCCCTAGACCTCAACCCCAAGATGCGCTCTTAAACCAAATTCATCCCCACTTACCCAAACTTGGAGTCTAGTTACAAACACAAGAGGCTAGAAAGAAACCTGGGTGGCTGAGGTCCACTAGAAACGAGGGCACAAACCCAAATGTTGGGGAGGGCCCAACAAGTAGATATGACGAGGGGCCAGCTAAACTGAGCGGCCCCGTGTATGCCAGCTGCCAGGACTACAGGCCCCAACCTGGCAGATAGTCCCGTTACCTCCCCCGCCAAATCAGGATTTCAGAGGTCCGTGTTTCCATTTCTGAACCACGGTAACTCATTTTACAAAAACACTGCGCAATTCAAACAAATCTTGCCTATACATTGAATGCTGGGTAATGCTACCAATATAGAGAAGTCCTGTAGAACTTTCTGCAGCCATAAAAATGTTCTATCTCTGGGCTGTCCAATAGTGGAGTGGGTATTGAGACACTTGATATGTACCTAGTGTAACTAAGGTTTTGAAATTTTCATGTATGTTCAAACTTAAATAGCTACATGTGGCCAGTGGTTGTCATGCTGGATGGTACAGGTCTAGAGCAATGACTCTGTGTCATAGCCTTTGGAGACTCATTGAAAACCAAGGGCCTCCTTCCAGGAAAATGTGCATATAATTACTGACATGAATGTTTGATTAAAGTTTCAGGATGTTCATGGATTGTCTGAAGGCCTACTCTTGTGCCTCAGGTTCAGCATCCCTAGAAAATTAAACCTGTGGTCGAAGAGAGGAGCCCCCTGGACAGAGGTACTCCTGGAGCATTTCCTTTATCTTGTTCTGTCTCCCCATCCTGATAGTCTAGAAAAGGTCACTGGGCTGTGCCTCTTGCTCTTGTAAGAAGGATGCCAGGACATTATTGGCATAGATCCAAGTACCTTTTTTATGAGGACTTCTTTCAATCAATTAATGAATAATTATTGTATGCCCATCATGGCCTAATTACTGGCCTGGGTGATGAAGGTACGATGCAGGATAAGACCTTCATGGTCTCTGCAGCTACAGGGTTTGTGAATAGATCATTCATTCATTCATTCATTCAATAAACTAAGCACCTGTTAAATGTCAGGGCTGTGATGGGTACTGGTTTACCAAGTAGCAAATCAGTGTGATAAGTGCTGCGGGGGAAGGCATTCAGCATTATGGGGGTACATCAGAGGGACAGAACCCAGATTTGGGGATCCACTGGGGAAAGCCTCCTAGAGAAAAGGACATCTAAACAGAGACTGAAGGTAGGTGGGTTAAGCCAGACAGCAGGGGTGTGGATATATGAGGGGAGAACAAGGTTCTGTGTGAGCTGGCACAGAGCAGAGGAGTTTGAGGTATTATCCTGGTGATGCTGTACATCCCCATCTGCCCGCAGTGAGATGCAGGGATGTAGTCCTCGGTGCCTCACCAAACCTGAGCTGACTTTTCGTGGGACAGGAAGTGTGGTGCTTGAGACCAGATGTATTTCCCACCGCCGGTACAGAGGCTTGAATTTCTAGCAATAGAGAAACGTTACTCTGGGTGTACAAGAGCTCCTTATTAAAATGCAAGGGCCCTGAGTAGGTGGCTTTGTACCTTCAGTGCTCATCACACAAGCAGGATGTGAATTGAGTAGGGGGGAGAAAGAGGAGTGGAGGAGGCACAGAAAGATCAAGAGGAGGAGGATTAGGAAGGGAATAGGAAAGTGGGTGGGGATTGGAGATAGTCTTTGCTTTGCTTATTCACGGCTTTGCCACAGGCAGGCTGGGCCCCTGGGATTGATCCAGACTCTCAGGATTGAGGACAGCACATCCTTTGCCCTATCCTAGTTGGCTTTCTGCCAGACACTAGTGCTTTCCAATAGTTAGATTTTTCCAGAGGTAATCTTGGCTCCTGTGAGAATCACCAGAGAATTCCAGCACTGCTGTAAACCCAGAAGAGCTTATATAATTTCCCCTGGGATGGCATACACTTTTTCTGTTTCTTTTGATGGAAACTAAAATGTCAAAATAACTATTCTTCCCATCCCCCGCTACTTGTTAAAAGACCTTATTTATTTGGAGTTTAGGGTTTTTTTTACCATTTCAAAAACTCAATTTATTTAAAGTAAAAAACAACAACAACAAAAGAAAACAGCTCACCCACAGTGAGCCCCACATCAGGCATCCCAAGTTTTACAACATACACTTGAGAGACAAGCCTGCAAAACATTTAACTTTGAAAACCAATGGGGCTCGCATCCCAAGACCCACAAGACTGGGAGTGAGCTGAGAAACTGCTCTTCAAGGGCTCAAGGGCTCAGGCTCATCAGCTTCTGGGTCCAGCTCAGGAATGGCTGGTTGCACCCAGACTTTAAGTGAAGGGGGTTCACCTCTCTATATGAAAGCATTCCAGAGCACCAGAGTCTCCCAGAAGGGAGCTTTTACACACATGTGGTGCCCTGAGTTTTGTGGCTGTGGCCTGGGACTCTCTTGATCACGTGGCTCTGAAGACCAGGGAGCTTGCAACCCTTGTCCCGTGGAACCATAATAATTGGTGTCACCATCATAGGCCCTATCTGGTGCACCAATTTTTGTGGCCACTGCTGGGGGGCACTTCTACATCACCTAGCTCTGGTGGCCAGCAGGACTTATGCTAGTGGGTCCCACAGGACCATGAACAAAGGAGACAGAGTTCTTAACCAGCTGACACCCCAGGGAAGAAAGAGCAAGAGGAGACAGACCCAGAAGCTCAGTCTTTCTGTGAAAGAGGTATATTAGCTAATCGTCATCAGACTGAGACTTTAGGGGCAACGTTCTAATTAAACAGGCATCTAGGTGCTAACTGTGATCCTTTCCAGAGAACTCTGAGGGTAGGCTCTATCTTTAGTCTCACCTTCTGTTGCAATCCAAAGTGCCAGTGTCTTCCTGGAGGGTGCCCATGTCCGGTGCCCCATTTTGGTGGCTGTTGCCAGGGGACACATTTACATTGCTTGGCTCTGGTGGCCAGTAGGGCTTATGCTGGTGATCCCACAGGACTATATATATTTGCACACTTATTAAAAGATGTTTTTTAATGTTTATTCACTTTTTTTTTGAGGGGGGGGTGCAAGCGGGGAAGGAGCAGAGAGAGAGGGAGACAGAATCCAAAGCAGGCTCCAGGCTCTGAGCTGTCAGCACAAAGCCTGATGTGGGGCTCAAACTCACAAACTGTGAGGTGAAGTCAGAGGCTTAACCGACTGAGCCACCCAGTGTCCCTATATTTGCATACTTTTAAAAGCTGTTGCCTGAGGGTTTGGTTTCCAGTAAGTCTGAATCTAGCTGCTGAGATCCTCCCCCTTTGAGACACTGACAAGTCTTGGTACATCCTCAACCACTGGGAGCCATTAAATATATAATAGCCTCCCTGGACACGCACAAAGGTTTAAAAGACAACAAAGAGCTGAGGCAGGGTTGAGTGACAAGGTTCATCTCCTACACAAGGCTACTCCTTGTGTAGACTGGGAGAGGGGACTGTTTCATCTACTAGATAGAAACCAACACAGGGAATCCGGCAAAATGAAGAAAACAGAAGTATAGGTTTCAAATGAAAGAACAAACTAAAAACTCAGAAAAAGCTGTAGTGAAGTGGAGATAAGGAATTTATACTTATCTCTGATAAAGAATGCAAAGTAATGGTCATAAAGATGCTCACCAAATGGGGGAAGAATGGATGATCACAGTGAGAACTTCAACAAAGAGCTGGAAAATGTAAGAAAGTACCAAACAGATGCCACAAAGCTCAAGAATACAATAGATGAACTGAAATATACACTAGAGGGGTCAACGGCAGACTAGATGAAGTAGAAGAAAGAATCAGTCAACTCAAAGACAGAGCAGTGGAATTCACCCAAACAGAGCAGCAAAAAGAAAGAAAGAAAAAAGAGTAGAAAAGAGTGGAGATCCCTTAAGAGACTTTAGGAACAATGTCAAATAGAGTAACATTTTCATTATCGGTCTCGCAGAAGGAGAAGAGAGAGAAAAAGGGGCAGAAATCTGATTTGAAGAAATAATGGTTGAAGCTTCCCTAGCTTGGGGAAAGACATAGATGTCCAGACCCAGGAAGCCCAGAGAATTCCAAATAAGAAGAACCCAAGGAGACTCACGCTAAGACACATTACAATCAAAATGTCCGAAGTTAAAGACAAGAAGAGGATATTAAAAGTAGCAACATAAAAACAACATGTTACAGGGGAATCCTCATAAGATTATCAGCATATTTTCCAGCAGGAAAGTAGCAGGCCAGAACGGAGTGCTGGAAAACAAACAAACAAACAAACAAACAAACAAACAAACAGCCAAAAAAACTTCCAAATGAGAATTTGGAAGTTACCATTCAGAAGTGAAGGAGAGATACGGTGTTTTTCAGGCAAACAAAAACTAAAGGAGCTCACCAGTAAACTGGCCTTATAAGAAATGGTAAAGGGCCTTCTTTAAGTTGAAAAGAAAGGATGCTAATTAGTAACAAGAACACACATGAAATCACAAGCCAGCA